ATTTGCCTCTCATCCCTTTGTCCCCTAATTAAATTCACTCTCCTTTTTATCCGCTCCAAAACCAAGTTCACACTTTTACTCAAAAGAAAAGAGTATGTGGCTCACAACATTTCTCTTTCAAACAAATTCGTATAGCACCTTTTTACTTTTCAACACTTTCAACACTTTTCAACACTTTCATTAAATTTTGGGCAGTAAGTGCAACAATGCATCAAGGTTCTAACGGAAACACATCCTCTCTTTTAGGGTTAACCATCTTGACCACCTAGACGAGAACAAAATTAGGATTTTAGTGGGTTTTGTTGACGATATATTTTTAAAAAGTCTACAAGAAGTTGAATGGTGCTACAACTTTGTGCATAGAAAAGTTAAGCCTCTGTTTGGCAAGTCATAATCGCCTTATTGTGTTTGAATGAGTAAGCTGCTGACTTACTGAATCTAGATGGTTGTTACCGGAATGTTTTTTCTTTCAAAATACATTTTGTAGGCTTGTAGCATAATAAATCGCAATCAGAGAAATGGTATCATTGTAGATTTGTCAATTGTCACTCAGTCTTCCAGGCATAGAACATGGGGCAGAAGAAATGTGCTCTACTGGAGGTTGTCTAACTGCCTTCATCTTTACTCTCTAGTACTAGTGCCTTGAACATGTAAATCACAAGCACTGCATTCGGGCAGTCACGTAGCCAGTCATGCACATCCCAGCACATGTGAAAAATAAATAAATGAGGTAAGTAGATATAAAGAGCAACCCATTGTGGATGCCCTTGGACCATTTGTAGTCATGAAGCCCCTGAGAGGGAACATTATCCGCAATGTGGCAACCACCTCATTGGGGGCTCCATGACCTTTAAAATGGTGTAGTGCATAAAGCTTTCTTCATTATCACACAAATTTTTCCTTAATTAATAAAAAAAATTAGGAAGAAGATGAATGGTTGGAGGAGGGAGGGGTGGAGCGCTATACGGATGGCGCCTCCAGTTTTTTTCTATAAAGCGTATGGGGGAGGGGTGTTGATCAGCGTTTTATATAATGGCGCCATGTTAGGGCATGAAGCCCACTACGTATGACCCAAAGCCATATGTAGGGGGCTTCATGCCCTTACATAATAGGAAGTTTAATGCAGATTGACTAGAAGGAAACCCCATAATTTACACTTTCCCCTCCATAAAATAGTCATATTTTACAAATATATACGGAGTAATTTTTAAACATTTTTTGAAGGAATAGTTTGTAAACTTAAGTAGCCTATAGCTATTGAAAATGAGGAAAACTTCGTTATGCCACCTTCATTTAACTTTTCGGATTTAAAATAAACTTCGGACTTTGAAGTTTTATGTGTTTGATAATCTCATTTAGTTTATGGATTATGACTTCAGAACTACAGGTTTCCAACTTTAATACTTCTGTTTTCAAGAACTTATTGTACTCTCAAACACCCCCTTACATTATTTCTTTCATTGCTTATACTTAGGTTGTTTTTCTTTCCAAAGAATTCATCTTTCACTTTCTTTTTAAGTGAAGTACAACATGATTCATGCTCTGTTTTATTTGCATTTCATCTACACAAGCCACAATCACATATTCGCATACGAGTAGATTCAATTCTACGGAGTACTTCATTAAAATATGCTCTAAGTTCTTAAAAATAGTGACAAACACATGGAATACAAGAAAAATATTACACTACATTCTAAGTATTTGGCTAGTTATGTTTTGATTCATTTAACATTTGATATATAAAAAAAATCATAATGAACGTGGATTGTAAATGGTGGGACTAGAGTACAAGCTAGAATGTAGACAATACAATACTCCTTCCATTCCACATTAAATTACATGTTTAATATACACACGGTTAAATTTTATTCATTTTCGTTCTTTATTTTTGTTAGTTATTTAATAAAATAATATAGTTAATTAGTTATATCACCACTAGTTTTATAGATCTTTTGATGTTTTTTTAGATATATAAATTTTATTTTTTAATTCTACATTATTTTTTATATAAAATAATTTCAAAATAATTTCAATCAAACATCGATTAGACGATGCACTATTATATTCTCTCTGTCCACCATAGATCTTTCCAGATACTATTCACAGAGTTAAACTTTACTCACTTTGTTTGCTCATTTTTACTAGTCATTTCGTAAAATAATATAGTCTTGTCACATCTAGTTTTGTAACACTTTTCATGTAGTTTATTTCTATATAAATTTTATTTTAAAATTTTATTCTTATAATCAATTAAATTGAAAATAAATAGGAGCTAGGACAATGAGATTTACTAAAGCACACACGAACTCTCGAAGTGGACCCCACAAACGAATCAGGCGCCTGCGTGTCATTCTCATCCTCACTTTTCATATTCTCTCAAGGTTATGAATAGCTGTCACTTTTCATTCTCTCAAGGAAAAGTTTCAAACAAGCCTAGAAATAGGATATAACATTGGGAATTTAAGGATATGTTTGGATGAGAAAAGAAAATAAAAAGAAAGAAAATGAAGAGAAAAGAAAATAGAGACAAAAGAAAATGAGGAAAAATTAGAAGGAAAATAATTGGTGTTTGGATAGATAGAAAATAAAGAAAAAATAAGATGGAAAATCTTCCCCTCTTCTTGTGCAGTTTTCTCTTCGGTTCTAGCGAGAAAATTTTGAAGGGGAAAATTGCCCCCACTTTTTTTCTTCCTCCCATTTTCTTTTCTTTCCAAACAAGAGAATTTATATTGAGATTTGTGTTTTCTTTTCCTCCATTTTCTTTCTCTCCATTTTCTCTTCTTCTAAACAAAGCATAAATGGTCCAAGGAGAGGATGTTAGTCTATTGATCTTAATGTCAAATCCTGACAGGGGCATATTATTTGTAATTGTTCTTTGAGTACACCGGGTACGGAGCAATCTCTTTAAAGATTGATGGTGTAAATATAGCTGGGCGGGTTAACCGGGTTTAACTTGGACACTCGACCCGTAATATAAAACACACCAAGAACACAAAGTATGACCTAGACCGGGTAAATCTCCTCAGTCCGAAATATATTTTTTACTCTGTCTCAAGAGTGTACTAGTTTTTAGTGAGAGAAAAGAATGGATCCCCTCCCCTATCCAATATCATCATATTTATAGAGGAGGATTTGTGACCTTCCCCTGTTCATCCATGGACAAAATAGGAAGCTCGTGGGAAGGTCACTGTAGATAATGGAAGCACTGTACAATCATGGACTTGATACTAATACAACCAAAAAGCACTGTTCAATCAAAGACTAAAATGGATATTCTCAATCCAATCAACCCTGCAAAATGACAAACATCCCTTTCACTGTGTGCCTCGTGATGGATGAGCGGCGGGGTGTCCCCTTGACCTCTGACGTGGTTCACCATGCCTAAGAGACTGGACCAATGTTAGCCAAGTAAAGTGATATGACCGGTCACCTTCTCTGAAAGGTTACCCGGTCATTTCTTGCGCTCAACCCGTCTCTTTGGTCTTCTAGAATGTCCTTCGTAAAATAAGGTGATATTTTCGCTATCGCCCAAAATGTGACCGGTCACTTTTTTAGTGGAAGTGACCGGTCAACTTTTGACCCGTCC